CGGACAAATGGCTCGCACAACAAACACACGCGACACGTGTGAGCACTGGACATGGCCCTGGATGACAGGTTAGCCCCAGGCCGGGGCTGAGACGGTTGGGGTCAAAGCGGAACATTTCTTTTAGCCAGCAGCCGTGGTTCAAGTGCCAGAGAGAGTGCCGCTTGCTTTGAGGTTATTTACTTTTAATGACTCGCAAACTACACAGAGAGCTGGCGACCAGCATGTTCCACGTACCACGTTGCGTATACGTCATGCGCGTGTGTGTGTGTGTGTGTGTGAGTGTGTGGCTTAAGTGTTTTCAGATATCGCGCATCAGTGGGCAACACTGGCGGCTGCGGCGTTGCCGTCTGTTTGTTGACTTTTAAACGGCTGTTTGCTTGCCAGATTGTGCACAGATCTTGTATGTGTGTGCGTGTGTGTGTTTTTGTGTGGCTTTTCATCTTTGGCCAGCAGCAGCAGCAGACGCTCACATAAATGAGCTTTGAAGTTTGCATAGAGCGCATGAAATGCATTCTCTCCGGCGCTACGGATAATACGGCGCAATTATAGACAGGCGGTGCGGGGAAGGAGGCTGCCATCATGCACATACATATATCCTTGAAAATAAATTGTTTTGTTAATTATTTATGGTTGGTTTAATGAGTGTGCGTTCTGTGCTCAACCAACCCCAGCCAACTACACCCGCCACACCAGCCGCCAAACGAGTTTGTTATATTTTTGCATTTTGCAATTATTTTAATGAGTTTTGCATTTAAGCGATTTCCAGCACAATTCTGACTACCAGCACATGCTACCAGCCAGTCTCATGTCATCATCATCAGCAACATCATCAACATCATTAGCAACATCATCAGCATTATTGACAGCAGCAGCAACATTCGCGATAGTGTTGTAAAACGTGAGTAATTGCCGTTTTTTGCTTCATTAAAAATGTGGCTTTGTTGTTGTAACTCATTAAAATAAAAAACAAAAAATATATAATAAAAAACATTCTATGTGTACACATAATGAATAAATGTAATCGGAATTCATATTCGCTAATTGTAGTAGCAGGAATTAAATAAAAACCATTTATTGTGAACGCATTCAAAAACACTGCAAAACCTCTTTTTGCTTCTGCTATTTCATAGTTTCCTTAAATAGTATAAATACTTTTTTTTCGCATTTATAGCAGTTACATTTGGTTATTAAGCTTTTACAGTATTTAAATATATTTTGTTTTAAATAGTAACTATTTATGGAATTTTTTTTTTATACCTTTTTTGCTTGAATTTCATCCCCTTAAATTAGCTTGTATTATCTTTTTAAAGCTTTTATTAACTCTCGCCAATAATAATTAATATTTCTATATATTTTTTATAATAGCTTATTGTCTTCTTGATAATTTATTATTTATTCATCCTCCTCCTTCTAAGTATTTAATTTTATCAATATTAAATTTAAAATTGTTTAATTAGTTTACTAAAATGCAGCATTCCTTATTTGTATATTAATAAGCGAATGTTTTATAAGGAGGAAAAAATTATATAAATAATTTATAAAATTACTCGCCATTGTTGTTTAATTTTTTTGTATATCCCATTAAATCTAAGCAAGTTCGTAAATATTTTTTTTACAAAGTTTTAAATGTCAAATTTATCAGTTTTAGTTAAAAACGTATCCAATGCAAGTCATAAATTTTCCGTAGAAAGTATTAAAGAAATTAGACAACACAATGGAATTGCCCAACGAGCATATTTTGGATGTATTTTTTCCACAGACCGCCGAATTGCACGGCGAACCAGCTCCAGAAAACAGAAATGAAATACAGCCCAGAGTTATAGTGCCCGATATTGATATAATGCAACATATTGCATTAGCCCACGAAGTACGACCGCACAGTTCGCTAATTGGTGCCGGCGATGGGCCACAGAACAATCAAATTCAATGGGACGAGAATTTGCCGCCATTTATCATCGTGCGAAGACGACAACCCTCCAAATTCTGGCGTTTTATGCCGCTGATGATATTAATGTCCAGTTGTTTCTTCAAATGCATCTTGAGTTCTCTCGGAATCGATATACAGAGTGCGGGCATACTGGGCTTATCATATAATATGCATTTCAGTATCCTACAATGGCTCATTTTAATTGCCTCCTACTGGTTCAAGGGTTTCAGCGAATAGAGTGTGTTTCAGTTATGGGCTCTACCAATAACTCTCAAATTACAAATATTAAATGTGAATGTTCTTCCTACTCAAAATCAGTTCGTAAGAGACATTTTTTATTAGCGGAATCGATTTCATTGCCTTTAACCAAAAGGATGCACGAGTTCCATAATGAGAGACACACAATAACGATCTCTATAATATGAAACAACATGCTGGCTATCCTAAACATATAAGCTCTCTTTTTAATATATACATATATGTTTTACTTTGCGCTGGAATCGATCAGTGTCTTCTGATCTCTACCAAGCGAATAACTAAGGGAATGTTGTATAGTTACTATTATGTAACTAATATGGTAGAAAGCTCAGCTCGAATTCGAAGACTTTAAGAGATAAAATCAGTTCAATCACGATATGGTGTCTTTGAGGAAAACTATTTAATTTTACTTTAAAAGATCAAAAATAAAAGTCAATCAGCAATATGGAAAAATATAGAGATAAATAAATTATGTTCCTGGTCAACATAAACAAACAACTTATATCATAAATCATCAATCGAAATAATCAAACCATAATTTAATTATTAAAATTGTTGATTGACCAATTGGAGATATATTGGGATATCGATTTATACAACGGCTGTTTACTGGGCGAAGTTTTATCAAAAAAAACTTAGTTTTATCATAAAAACTTAATGAATACGTTTTTCAGCGATTTGGGAAATTCCACCCGTAACTTGGGTATTTGACGGTAAATGTTTAATTTCTGTGATTACCATCGGATCGCCATTATACTCAATTTTAAAGATCTTTGTAAATATTTTTTTGATACTCTTTCGCAAATTCCATACGTTTTGGATGGAAAATGCTGAGCATAGGTCGTTCTGTTGCAGGCATTATACATGACGGAACCGAATCGGGCCACTATATCATACAAATGCAATATGTATCGTATAAAGCTCTGAAAGGATATTTAATTTTTGTCACCCCAATAAGAATTGTTCCCATTTGCCTTGACACTACGGCAACACTGTAAATTTATAACTGTAAATGCAGCAACTGCCACCACACCCCGCACCGCTGCAGAGCTTTTTTCCCATATGTCCGCCTCCTGGACCAAAAATCTGCGGCGCTTTTGAACGGCTGAGCCGACTTAAGTCCTTTGATTATTTGGCGCTCTTTGCTCTGCCCATCCAATTTTATTTGTATTTCTTTTTTGCATTTGGGGAGTGGCTGCAGTATGCTATAAGTAAGTCCTGTTCCAAACTATATGCCTCTTGTTGTTGTTGTTCTTGGTCTAATGCTGCTAATGTCTCGCACTCGAAAAAAGATTTGCGCTGAGCGCTCCACCTACCTAAATACTCTTTTGCCGTTGTCCTGCCCAGGGCTCGTCCTGCGCTTTTATATTAAGTTCGCCACGGGAGACTTTAATCTGTGGCTACGAGAGCTGCTGCTGCTACTGCTGCTGCTGCTGCTGCTCCTGCTGAAGCTGAAGCTGGTGGGCACTCGACTCGATGCAAAACAATGAACGAATTCATGGCATATGTGTCCTGCGAGTCCTGTGTATGTATGTGTACGTTTGAGCCGGTGAAGCCGACGGAAAAATTATTTAATATTACCCATCTGAGGCGATGAAGCGATGAGGCGTTGTTTGGCCTAATCCTTGTGCGAGCATTAGACATGGAATTTAATTTAGTTCAGCTGAGCCAGCCATACTTTTCGAGCTGGGAGGACGGGCCAGCAGGGTTTATTCGCCAGCTGCTTTCTATGTGTGCCAAATGCCCCATGCTGTTGCAGAAATCTGTCAAACTTGCTGGCGCTTTTAATTCAAATGAAAGCCGTACAAGGACCAGAACCCAGACCCAAGAATATTCCAAATTCCAATTCCTTGCCCACTGTTTACTCGCTGGGGCTGCATTGCAGATAATCCAACTTTGATTAAGTAATTTCGAACGTCAGAGTCTGTAATAAGTTTTGGTGTTCAAATCCAAGTCTCAGCCGTTTATTCCCATGTGTGTTTTAGCGGGGGGGCGTAACCATACAACTGGGCGTGGGCGTGGGCGTGGGCGTTGTTTTGTATGCAAAATCCCTAGAGCCACCCTGTCGCGTGTCTGAGACAATAGCGGGTAATTTTTTTCTGTTCCTACCTTTTGGGCTTCCCGCTGTTGTTGTTTTTTTTTTTTTTTTTTTTTGCTTTATTTTTTGACATGCAATTTACAGCAATTATCATAATTACGAGCTAAATGTTTATTCAAGTGGAGTTTTAATAATTGATTGGCATTTTAATGACAATGTGTTAGGAGCAATTAGAGAATGACTTCAGTTCAGTCGTCATCTGTTTGAATATTTTTAAGAAGCCCGCAAGGAATCTTTAATATTTATAAGTTGTATTGTAAAACTTGTACTTTGTATGCATCAAAATAAAATAAGACACTTTAAATGATTTAAGAACTTGTTTTGCATCATTAATTTTTGCTCAGTTTTAACGAAGTATTTAAAAATGTTTTTTTTGTTAAATATAAGAATCACAAGCTTTTATTAAAACAAAAAAAAATTTAATAAAATTTGACCCACGCAAGCCATTATTAGATGCACCGTAAATAAGGAAGGAAAATTGTGATCAAAAAGATAATATCTATTCGCATTTTTTATTTCATTGTTTTCAGGATTCTTAATTATTTTAGTCTACAAGCAGAAATTAATCGCGACTATTGAAACTGATCACCTACAAATATACAAAATGGGGTCGTAGCTCTTTTCTTCTATGCGTAACATATTTCGTGACAAAGTTATAATATCTTCGGCAAGTGTATAAATTAGCGAACTGTTTAAGAAAAGCTGCTTAGCACTTACTTGCACTCTCCCATTCTCTTGACCTTCTTCTCCCACTCCCTCTCGCTTTATGTGCTATGTTATGTTAAGGTGATTTTGCGCCAAAAGTGAGAAAAGTAATGCACCAAAAATTAAACGATTAAAACAATTCTTGAACCAACCATGGGGGTGGAGACACGGGCTTAACGCGTTTAACACGTTCAACACAGTGATTATATAATATACATACATATATGTATGTATATTTAACTTGATCGATTTAATACACACGCGCCCTAAATAAAACGATCAATTGAGATGACGCGCACAGACTAAATCGCATCGTTATGTTCGCAACTACACCAAGCCGGCATTAACACTAATGCAATTTCAACTAACAGCTAAAACTTCTGCGCTCACGCCATCCACAATGTCCGCCTTGGATACACAGTCGGGTAACGGGATCAAGACTGTTGCGTGTTAGATATATGTACATACAAAGCTACTGTCTGCAGTCGGCGCATCAACGTACGTAGATATGTATGTATGTATGTACGTATGTATGTATGTATGTATGTAAGTGATGTGTCTTTGGACGAAGAAATTTGCTTCGAAAATGGGGGAACCGCGCACACACAAATCATACTGATAAATCAAGTCATTACACAAAAAATGTATAAAAATCTTGGTATTCGTTAATGCTGATCACGAATATATATTCTTTTTGGATCCTTCCATGTGTTACCACATGCCAATAATTGTACAAGCTCAATAACAGTGAATATTCGTACATGCTCGTGATTGAACGTGACACGATCGATTCGCTTATGTATATTCACGTTTTCCCCTTCACAAGTGGCAACGCAGTAAACAGCTGTTTATTGTTTTTTCGAATTAGTTTCATTACAATTGGAACCGAAATGCAAACAACGCACAAATTTGGCGGCTGTCCCTGGAAACAGGCGAACTACAATTACGGCGACGGCATTATAGGACTTCACGAAGAGATCGAACACTTCTATAGATATATACTGCCTACACCCACTGAGCATGCCGTGCGCATTGAGGTGGTGAAACGCATTGAGAGCATCATCCACGAGCTCTGGCCGCAAGCGCTGGTGGAGATCCTTGGCTCCTTTCGCACTGGCCTCTTTCTGCCCAACTCAGACATTGATCTCGTCGTGCTGGGTGAGTAGCGCCGCGAACAGATCCAAACACTTTAGACTCTCTTCATTCCACACATGGCAGGTCGTTGGGAGAAGCTGCCGCTGCGCTCCCTCGAATTGGAGCTCTTGAGGCGTGACATTGTGAAGGCTGGAACGATGCGTGTGGTGGACACGGCTGTGGTGCCGATCATAAAGTTCACGGACAGTAAAACACAGATAAAGCTGGATGTATCCTTCAATATGTCCGACGGCATTCAGTCCGCGGAAATGATCAAACAGTTTTCGCGCGATTATCCAGGTCTGGGCAAGCTGGTCCTGGTGCTGAAACAATTCATGCTGCAGCGCAAACTCAGCGAGGCATTCAGCGGCGGCATCTCATCATATTCACTGATACTCATGTGCATCAGCTTTCTGCAATTGCATCCGCGTGACAATTTCCATGCCCAGGCAAATCTGGGCGTTCTGCTCTTGGAGTTCTTTGAACTGTATGGAATACGCTTTAATTACGCACAAATTGGTATTTCCATACGACATGGCGGGTGCTATAACCGAAAGGAAAACACGTTCATCGGCTCCAAGCAATCGGCGTTGTCCATCGATGATTCGCTGCAGAATGGCAGCGACGTGGCGCGCAGCAGCTTTGCCATTGTAAGCGTCAAGCAGGCCTTTCAATGGGCCTACCGTGTCCTCAGTCAGGCAGTGTATCCACAAGGCGAGTGCCAACTACGTCACAACGCCGCCTCCTCTTCCATATTGGGTAAGTGTAGTTTCTATACCCCGGGCCCTTTGATAAAATAGTTTATACTGCAGTAGTGTAAATGAGACAGCCAAAAGGAGGACCTTAGACCTCATAAACTATATTTTTTTCTCGATTAGCATCAATAGCTTAGCCAACCTAAGCATGGCCTATTTGTCCGTAAAGATTTTAAATGTAATATAATATCTAGTATTCCACAAGCAGATCAAGTTTATTACAAATTGTCTAACGTGTTCCATTAAAAAGTAAGACATAAAGCATGTATATGACTACGATTAAGATTATATTTTATTTATACGCACACTTTGCTGCCATATCAAAGGCCTCCAAGTTTCACAACGATTGGACAAGAAACCCAAACTAGTAGAGTGCAATTTTTATAAAATGTATCTGCATCCTTATTCTAAGGGCGTATATTTCAAAAGGTTTCAATTAGGTTTTGGGTATCTGCAAGTCGAGCACCGTATGTTTATTCTAAAATTTATTTCGCATGTCCTTAATCACAGGTTGCATTATTCAGATAACTGATGAACTCGTCGACTATCGTGCCTGGTTGCACGAGAACTTTGACCACTTGGTTGTCGTGGAGTCCATCTCACCCTTGTACGGACAGATCAATGGAGCCGCGGCGTATGTAACCTTGGCATCTGGTGCAGTGGAGCAACGGATTTATCAAACACAACCGCAATCAGTTCCGGCTTTTCATCATCTTAGCAACATCTGTCCGAGGCATGAGTCGAGCTCCTCCAGTACTGAGGAGCCTACAACAGCTGTTATCGTAGTCTCTTCTGATGAAATGGATGTGTGCTCCTGACATTTCTTGGGCATTCGAAAATATTTAATTTATAAATACGTTTAAACAATAAGAATATAATTGTAACATGAAAAAGATTTCCCTAAAAACGGGGAATCAAAAAAAATGCAAAAAAAATGCTATTAACTAAGTTGTGGAATCTCCTATAAGACGAATGTTCAATTTATATGTTTATGAAGAATTTAAAAAATAAGTTAATGGAGAAATTATGCCTTATAATAGTTTATAATTAGAGCAACTTACATAACATGTTAATATGTATGTTAATGTTGAGATAAAATATTTATACGTGCGAACAATATAAGAAAATATTGATTAATTATTCCTTGTTTTTATATCATATATTTTTTATTCTTGTTTAATATTATGCCAAATCAAGTAAGAAACACATTAACATTCCTTTTCTTATTGTCTTGCTAAATTTATTCAAAACAAATGCCAGTTGCCATCTAATTAAACGTGAATGGGCGAAAATTGCGGTATTTTGTGTGAATGGCAAATCATCGCAAACAAGCCAATTCACGCTTGCATATGTGTGTGTGTAAATCGTGACGTAATTACGTGAGTGCGGTCGATTATTGAGTGAATTCGCTTAGTGGCTACGATTAAAAATAAATTAAAATATTGTGTGTGAATATTTAAAGAGTAAGTTGAAGGGAACAGCTGAAAATATGTACAAATGATAAGTATGTGTACATATGTACGTGGATAGCGCTCTGCTAGACACAACTTACGCAACAGGCAGTCGACAAAACTAACGGTTTGCAAAGGCCCAATATAAAGTGTCAAAATTCTATACATTAAAAATGTGGGAAGACCCTTGTAAAGGCCATTAAAATTCCGTAAACATATTTAAAACTCTTGTAGAGAAGTAAATATATTCTTGATCAACAGCTGAGTCGATATAATCGTATCTGTCTGTCGGATTGTTCGTCTGTCAAGTCTCCCATTGTTAAAGCTATCGGGGTGCATAGGTCCTTCTTTCTGTTGCAGGCATTACATACATATGTACATATATCAGAACCGTTTTTATCGGATCACTAAATCATTTACTATCATTACTATCATTTATTACCAAAAGAAAATGATGAGCAAAATCTTATTGGGAATGTACTTTTATTAAATAAAGATGCTATAAGACCAATCAGTCAAATATAAAAAATGTTGCATTAAGAGGTTTTTGTTATTCCAGATCTGCAAGCCTGTAGACTAAAGCCTTGATTTAAACTCCGGCTTGAGACGTACTTTAATCTCTATATATAAAACTGTTTGTCCTGACTGACTGACTGACTGATTGGTGATCAACGCACAGCCCAAACCGTAAGAGCTAGGAAGCTGAAATTTTCACTGTAGCTACCTTATGTGATGTAGGTGCACGTTAAGACGGGGTTTCGGGAAATTCCACCCGCAAGTGTGGAAAAATCGCGAAAAACGTTTGTATGTAACTTTTTTGTTTACCATCGGATTGGCCTCAAACTTATTTTCAAAGATCTTTGTTCAAATTCATTTGAGGGGTGTTTCACACTTTTAGGAAAATCCATTCCTCCTTGGTGGAAATGGAGGTCAAAGATTTGGTGGGTGACGTTTCGCGCTCAAATTCATTTCCAGTGATCTATATGAAAAATCGTTTGAGACGTGTTTCTCACTTTTCGCAGAATTCAAACTTCTTCGAGGGGAATGCGATTTAAAGATTTTTTGGGCGGCGTTTTAAGTTGTGTCCCATTTGCTTCAAACTTATTTTTAAAGCTCTTTATAAGAACTTAATAAATACGTATTTCAGCGATTTGGGAAATTCCACCCGCAACAGTGGTAAATTGGCGGAAAACGGTTGTATGAAAGTTTTTTGTTTACCATTCGATCGGCCCCAAACTTATTTTCAAAGATCTTTGTTCAAATTCATTTAAGGGGTGTTTCACACTTTTCGAAAAATCCGGTCTTTCTTGATGCAAATGGGGGTCGAAGATTTGGTGGATGACTTTTTGTGTTCAAATTTATTTCCAAAGATCTATACGAAAAATCATTTGAGACGTGTTTCACACTTTTTGCAAAATCTAAACTCCTTCGGTGGAAAATGCATTTCAAAGATTTTTTTGGTGAGTTTTAAGAATTTTCCGATTTGCATAAAAGTTGTTTGATTCCCGTCCGATCAGTTTTCAAATCATTTTCAAAGCTTTTTTGATTTTATAACATACGTGCCACGGGCAAGGCCGGGTTATACCCGCTAGTGTTATATATATTACTAGCGGGTATAACCCGGCCTTGCCCGTGGCACGTATCAATGTTCTCAAAAAAATTTGAAATGATTTTGAAACTGATCGGACGGTAAACACATAACTTTCATACAAACGTTTTCCGCCAATTTACCACTGTTGCGAGTGGAATTTCCCAAATCGCTGAAACACGTATTCATTACATTCTTATGTAGAGCTTTGAAAATAAGTTTGAAGCAAATCGGACACAATTTAAAACTTCGCACAAAAAATCTTTGAGTCGCATTCCACCCGAAAAAGTTTGAATTCTGCGAAAAGTGTGAAACACGTCTCAAATGATTTTTCTTATAAATCTTTGGAAACGACTTTGAGCGCGAAACGTCACCCACCAAATCTTTGACCTTCATTTCCACCAAGGAGGAACGGATTTTTCGAAAAGTGTAAAACACCCCTTAAATGAATTTGATGGTAAACAAAAAACTTTCATACAACCGTTTCCCGCCAATTTACCACTGTTGCGGGTGGAATTTCCCGAAACCCCGTCTTAACGTGCACCTACATCACATAAGGTAGCTACATTGAAATTTCAGCTTCCTATCTCTTACGGTTTGGGCTGTGCGTTGATCACCAATCAGTCAGTCAGTCAATCAGTCAGTCAGTCAGTCAGTCAGGACAAACAGTTTTATATATAGAGATTTATTATCTTTAAACATAAAACATAATTCTACCGAGTATAATGATATTTAGCTTTTAGTGTGTTTCTAAAATAAAACTTATACTTGGAAAAAATTACATCTGAATGTCCCATATAAATATTATAATATTATAAACGAAATATAAGTATAAATATATTATTATATATAAATATTATTATTATTATATATAAATATATTTTTTATGTTTATTCGATATATCAGTTAATATTAAGTAAATATTGCTTACATACCTGAAGAAATATGTGTAAGCAATATAGATATATCCGATAATATTAGTCTCTTGCTCAATGTAAACTATATCTTATAAACAAAGAGCTAATTTATTTTATAGCACTAACCAGCTTGCAAACAGAATATAGAAATAAATTACACTTCTGCTAATGGTAAATAGTCTTCGATCAGAATGCAAATGTTTTCCTTTTTATACCTCTGTAAAATGTAAAGTTTTTACTAAACTCGAGATTCTCAATGGGAAAGGCATCAGGTTCAGATTTAACGTAACGGGAAATTGTAAGCCAATTCCATTTGATAACTCCATTAAGAAGCTGCCAATGTTAAAGAAACTAGCTTGGATGAATGGCAAATCAAAGCAACGCCTTATATTGGGAGATGTGTGCAAGACATTAGAATTAAATAATAATAATGTGTTAATATTTAAAAGAGGCTCGGTATAATATCCACTCGTATATCTTTCTCTTATAGGAAGACGATTTTAATAACTGAAGAAATTCTATAAATCAAAAATATGGTAGATAAATCTTTTGGTAAGTTTTCTTTTAAACTATTAAATATCTGAGAAATATTATCAAAGGTTTCACCCTTCGTTTTCCCCATTCACTAATTCGCTTACCATAAAACGTATTTTTTCGAGTGATATTTAGTGTGAATTGTGATTTTAAAAGAAAGTGGAAGTGTAAAAAAAGAAATGTGCAAAAAAATAATATTTTCAGAAAAGTATAAGTTTATTTAGTTTTTAGTTTTGAATGTGGACGGACAGACAGACAAGAATAGACACCGAACAAGATATATATATATATAGTTCATGGAGTCGGAGACGTTGTCTATTATACACAGCTTATGACAAAATTATAATACCAAGGAAATAGAAAAAATTACAGGAAACCAAATGTTAAACAACATCAACAACCGCTTCTAGCTTATATCAAGTACTATTTCATGAATCTAGAAGTGAACCCGAGCAAATCGTGACGTCTAACTTTGTTGTCAGCAAAGCAAACGGAAAAAACAACAAAAAAACAACAAACAGGCTTACACAAAAAGTTCAAACGTGCTCAAATCGAGCCACAATTTATTTGGCCTAAAACAATGGGCAAATGCTAAACTAAGCGGCTAAACAAATAGCAGCAGCAGCAACGGGCATAAATCCTTTCACTAAAACGCGCACTCGACAACCCTGGAAAAAAAAAGCAAAGAAAAGAAAAGGGCAACAGCAATTGGCAAAGTGCGCTTTTTGGCACTTCAAATACTGCAGTCGATGGGCAAACGCGGAGCAGCTTATAGACAATTCAAATCAACATAGTTCCCAACCAACACCCCCTCTAAAAGCCATGTGTGTGTGTGTGTGTGAGTGTGTGCGTTTGTGTGTTTGTCATGTCATTTTAATCAAAAACGGCGCAACGGCAACATGCAACGGATTATCCGGCCGCTAAACAACACCCCTGGCCCCGAGCCGGGAGCAAAAGAGAGGCAAAACCCAACCCGAACCCAGTAAAATCGGAAAACCAAGCCGTGTGTCCCAGCGGTGTCGTCGATGGCTGCTGAATGGGCTGAACGTGAAGAGATTCCTGCTGACAATTGCCATGCAGCCATCCATATAACAATTAAATGCGCAGTGAGGCTCAGCCTACTTAGGCGCTATAAACATGCTACATGGATACACTCGAAAAAATTAAGGATACCTATCTAATGTTCTAGCACGAACTGACACTTAATTTCAAAATGGATTTAGAAATAAATATAAACATTCTCTATGGGAGAAAAATATTTCCAAGATCAAAAACTTTACTTCAGTTTTTAATTTAAGAATTAAGATTAGAAAAGGTTTTTAGGTCGGCCTAAGCAAAAAACTATCATAGTTTTTACTTTGCTTTTCTCTAAGTGTACGGAATACACATATATTTTTTCCCAAACGCTTGCGAATTTATTGAACCGCAGCAAATGTCATTG